ACAGGAAGTGCAGAGTCCGATTTAGCTACGTTGATGGTCTTGTGGAAAGGTTTGATTCCTGTGTGACGACACAACCGCTAGTCCCCTTTCAGTGCCTTTGCCAGAGGTCAGAACTACTTTGAACGTTTCCTGTTAAATGAAGGTCTGGTTTTTCTTTTCTTTCACTAAGCAATAAGATATGACAGCCTGTGCTAATTGGTGAATGGAGTCTACATACAACCCCATTAGCAAGGTCAATATTCACTGTATAGCATGCACTGTAAAAGAAAATAGCTGTAAATTATTAGTATTTTGTGATTCATGTTTTTATTTAACATTTTTCCCCATTTATTTATGCTTTTGAATGGCATTATGGGACCTTGAACTTTCCAACTTTTATTAGCATTTTTATTACTTTAAAGTGATTTATTGTCTGGGTTGGTGTTGTATATTACGGTACAAAAACCTTGTATTGTACAAAAACCTGTTATTCTACAGATTTATTTCTCTCTATATTTTTTCATGTCCGTTATTCAAACTACTAAAATGTCAATAAAAGTCACTTTGTTGAACTGTAGAGTTTCAACATCAGAATTCTACAGAACAGAGATCAAGCTCCCATAATGCAAATCACAATCGTAAATAAACACTTGTGAATCTCAAAATACGGAAACTGTTCGTTAACAGATGTTTTAACAGTGTGAGCTGGAGTCTTTTGCTTTTTAAGAATCAAAATTAATTGGGGTTTTCACCCAGTATAAGAATTCTGTCATTCTGTATGCATTTCTTCGGAGACATAAATTTTAACATCATTGTCAATGAAATCTAGTTTATTGGAGCACATTTTACAATTAAATATTTTAGTTATTCTGAAGCAGTGTTGGGTAAGATAAATTAAAAAAAAAAAAAAGTATTAGATTACAAATTTCTAATTACAACTGGAAAGGTGTAATCTCATTGCATTACTAATTACTTTGTGTAAAAAGTAATCAGATTACTAATTACTAATGAGATTACTTTTCAAAAATATCAAATATATCTATAAAATACAAAATAACCTGCAGGTCTTTGTAATGTATTCACTGAAAAACATTACAGTGGGTTGATCACAGCAGCTTGACATATTTAAAGGACTTTAAGAGTTCGCACAAGGCTTAACATTCTCTCATCATTCACTTTTTTCAATCCTGTTTGTCTTTTTTTTTTTTTTTTTTTTTTTTACACAAAAGAACACATGAAAATACAGAAAACTGGATACCTGTATCTATTGACATCCATAGTATGAAAAGCACTACAGTGTTTGGGTGTTCTGTGTTTTTCTGAGATAATTAATCCACTGAAATATGTATATTCCAAAGTAGGAAGCTAATAAGTCAGTTCTTGTCACATGACTTGAAGTTTTCAACTGGGTGTGGCTGTGAAATACAAGCGTGCAATATGCGCTCCCAATATGTGCCCACGCACAAAAGATGCGATATGTGATAACGGCTCCATAAGCAGTTACGCTTCTCTTCACATTCAGAAGACACCTTCACTCTTGATCTTGCACAAAATTCAATATAGTCTGTTCAGGTTGATTTGGGCCAACGGGTTTTTGGGTGCCGGTGTCATTCTCTGTGACGAGAATAGTTGTAGAATGCTTTCTGTTCAAGTACTGAACAAGTTGCTGATTGAGTTAAAAGCAGTCGAAAGGTCTTTAGAGACTGGACACTGAATTTCACGGCAATATGTTTGTTTTTAAATATAAGTAATGTCTGTATTTCCACTTGAAGCAGCCAATCTCATCAGCAGCCATTACAGCTCGCTTTCTTCAGCAATTGAAAAGCACATACTTATTAACTGACGTTGCAGCAGAAAATGTGATTTAAATTAAGCTTTTTTTTCTTCTTCTAGAAACTATACTTGTAACATAAGTAACGTAATTACACTGACTTTAGTAACCTGTAATCAAATTACACAAATTTAAAATGCAATTCGTTACATTACTGTGTTCCTCAAAAATGTAATTAGAACACAGTAATGCGTTACTGTGGAACACGTTACACCCAACTCTGTTCTGAAGTAGAAATCATTAGTGGTGAAACATAATTAATACTGAAATTTAATAGCAATAATGAAACTTTAGGAATTCCCTCCAAAACTTTTGGGATATGGATTAAAGAACAGAAGTCCCAATCAAAACAATGACATTAAATACACTGTAAAAGGTGATTAGTTGACTTTAAAAAAAATTGAGTTAACCTTTTGTAACATAAAACTAATATTTTGACAACTTAATTTTTATAATTATGCACCAAGTTCATTTGCTTAATTTTAGGGAAACAAATAAAGTGAGATTTATTTATAAACTAATTTCGAGAGGATCACGTGCTTATGATTGTTCTCAGCTGGTCTCCCATCAGCTTATGATTGATTCATCATTCAGATGATTACTAACTCACTATAAATAACCAGAGTTTTCTTATCTCAATATTTCTTGTCTTGAAGAACCCCCCCCCCCCCTCCCCAACCACCCTTACACCCCCTCCTTTTTACATGGGAGACACGGCAGCCCAGTTATTAGCACTGTTGCCTCAAAGCAAAAATGTCTCCGGTTAAAGTCCATTCTAAACCAGTTGACATTTCTGTGTGGAGTTTGCTCATTCTCCCCATGCTCGAGTGGGTTTTCCCTTGGGTCTCTGGTTTCCTCCCACAACCCAAAAAACACGCAACCTAAGTAAATTGAGCATACCAAATTGATACCATAGCCAAGCTCTTAGCGAGTACACCTCTTTTCAGCCATCATACAGTATATCGGTCATTAGCCAGAAATAAGCCAGGGGGAGTTCATTGAGATCTATCTGAACTCAAACTCCCCTCTCGCCCTGCAAACGGGAGGGAGCCCAGGGCTCAAGGATCTCATAAGCTCAGTGCTTTCTCCCGGGACAGTATGCCAAACGGGCTTTATTATCAATCATCTGCTGAGTGTGAACTCTTGAACTTACTTTAAGTAACTAATAGCTATTTACAGTGTACATACTGTAGCATTTAAAATGAAAGTAAATGTGGTTTCAATGTTTCAGATAACTTCTGTCAAAATAAAATGTCAGAATGTGCAAGATAATGTTTTACCTCCAGCTTAACTTGTTTAAAAATTTAGACAAACTTATTACTAACTGCTTATTAAAATATTAAATATAAAATGTTTAATAATTATTTTTTTGTGACATGAATCTCACTGAAAATGGTAAAATCTGGTGGTTTGTAGCACATAAAGATTTAAAATGATAATTAAGTATTTCAGGGCTGCAATGTGATCCTTAAATAAAGACTTTTAATATGAAATCGAATTATTATTCTGAATATGCCTCAGATTTTTATTGTTTTTAGATTTACCGCCACTCTGAAAGACATTTTATAATAGTTAAATCATAGTTTTTTTTTTCAACATTACATTACAACGCTTCAGTCACTTTATTTTAAGGTATAATTCATGCTATTCATAAACCATTAACTAAAACTTTTAGCTTGTTAGACTACTAATAAGCTGCTTATTAACAGTTTGTGAGGTAGTAGTTGGGTTTATGTGTTGAATAGGATAGTGCGTGTAGAATAAGTATTATTAAACAGCCAATATCTTAATAACAGGCAGGTAATAATCCAGTAGTAAATAAATACTTAAACAAAAGTCTTACTAAACCTTCATTTTGCTTTGTTGCTTAACCTCTTTTACATGTGACTAATTAAACTTAATAAAATTCCAATATAATCTAAACTACACTGATATTAATGCATTGCATAGCATTCAATGTATTACTACACTTCAAAAAATGTCTTTTGCTGCTTAAACTACTCTCTTAAAATAAGCTGAAACAACACAATTCTTAAGGGTTTTTTAGGGCACACTTAATATTGGAAAAACTAAGTTAACTTAAGTGAATTGAACAAAAAAATAATATTAAAACAATTAAGTTAACATAAATTATTTGTGTTGAGACAACTTGAGGGAATTGTGTGGAACCCAGCATTTTAACAGTTTATATACTATATTTGTAAACACTGGATTTGCAGGTACAGTGGGGGGAATAAGTATTGAACATGTCACCATTTATAAAACACATAACATGAAATGCATATATAAAAAGAAAACCAACTAAATTAGTTTACAAATTAAGTGTTGTGTAATAAAATGAAATGAGACAGGAAAAAGTATTAAACACATGAAGAAAGAGAGGTGTAGAAAGACAGTGAAAGCCCAGACAGCAGCTGAAATCTCTTAGTAGTTCTTCAGCAACACTCTGCCCTTCATCATTGTAAATGAATATTAGCTGCTTCAGTCCAACATCTACATTATCAGGATGATGAAAATAAAACCACAGTGGACATTTCAGCAAGACAATGATCTAAAACACAGTCAAGGAAACTCTCAAATGCTTTCAGAGATAGGAAATCAAGCTGTAGAATGGCCCAGCCAATCACCTGATTTGAATCCAATATAGAATATGAAATAATGATCAGATTTGATAGACGAGACCTGAGAGCCATCAAGACTTTTACACTGTTGAAGCCAGTGAAAAAAGTCACACCTGAGCAATGCATATGACTTCATTCTCCAAATGAGAGGCGTCTTTAAGCTGCCAAGTCAACAGCACCTTTAGAAATATGTTTTCTGAGAAAAATGTTGACGTGTTACTTATTTCCCCCACTGTATATCCACATAATCTATGTGTTCAGAGCACTTAGGCTTTGTTTTAGGTGGGTTATATCATCGGCGCCAGCTCGGGCTCATGGGCCTGCTTGTCTCACTAGCCTTTGAGTCGCACACACCAGCTGCTTGGTCTGCCATGCCCACTTTCTGCTCAAGTTACCACAGATAACACAACTCTGAGCAATCCGTTCTCCCACCCCTCTCTCTTGCTCTCTCTCTACCCCGGACCCCTCAATGCAGCGCTAACTGGGGTATTCAAAGTGATATTAAGGGGGTGTGCAGTTTGGACAGTAACCCAAGCCAGTACAAACACAGCCCAAATATATCCTCTGCCACTCTACGGTTGGCGATTGATTGGGCATCTGGATGAAGACTGGCACTGCTGGAGAATAACAGAAGGAAAGGAAGTTTAGGATCTTAAGCTATTGACTGAATTTGGTGTCCAAATGAACTTCACTTTGGGCTTCAAACCGTCGATCGGAGATTCCAGCTCAATGGAGAACTTGGAGAGGCAACTGATTTGCCCCATCTGTCTGGAGATATTCAGCAAGCCTGTCGTCATTTTACCCTGCCAGCACAATCTCTGCAGGAAGTGTGCCAATGATGTTTTCCAGGTAATGCTTTATTGCTGTTATTATATAGTGTACGGCCTGTTTTGAACTGTAGTATCTAGAATGCTCATTTAACTTTTGAGAGCTTTTTTGTAATTGTAAAAGCTGGAAGAGGATCTGTGTTTTCAAGCCATCTATTTTCCCTTTAGAATGCCTAATGAGTTTTTAAAATACTGAGTTTGGATTTATAAGTTGAAACTGGTTCAAATGATGCAAAGAGACTTTTTGTTCTTTAATGTAAGGCAAGATGAAGCAAGGCAAACTTTATTTATAGAGCACAATTTTAAGCAACTGTATTTGATCCAAAGTGCTTTGCAATAAAATAAACTAGACAATAAAACTAAAAAACTGGTATTAAATACAAGGAAATGTATATGTTTAAAAGTAATACTAAAATACAAGTTAAAAAAATAATAATAATAATAAATAACATGCATGCATCACTCAAAGGCAAGAGAGTAAAAATAAGTCTTTAAGTTAGATTTAAAAGCATCCAATGAAGGAGAAATCCTGATGTTCAGGGGGGGACTGTTACAGAGCCTTGGGGACACAGAAAGCTCGATCACCTTTTGGTTTGAAGCAAGACCGAGGGACAAAAAAAAAAATTTGGTCATGGAATCTTAACGGTCTACAAGCTGAATAAGGCCTAATAAGTTCACTGACATAGACCGGGGCAGAATAGTGCACTGCTTTATAAGTGAAATGAAGAATTTTAAAATCAACTCTGTATTTTATAGGTAGCCAGTGCAATGAGGCAAGGACAGGGAAGATATGATCTCTTTTCTTAGTTCCTGTTATTAATATAGCGGCTGCAATGTACGCCCCCCACCCCCCAAAAAATCGTAAATTAGCAGTTTTTTGTATGATTCACCCCCTAAACCCCTCACCCCTTCCCCCAACAGAAAAATAGTACTTTAATATATTTTCAGAATTTAAAAAAAAAAAGTTACTTTCAATTTCAAATGTATTTGCTGTATTTTAGATCAAATATATGCAGACTTGGTAAGTGAATAATCTTCTTTCAAAAAACAATACAATTATTTCACCGAACACAATAAGAACGCAATTTCAACATTTTGTGATAACATACCCAAATGATTAAAATACATTTGATTTATTTTAAAAATCATGGTAATTATTATATTTTAAATGTATTTTTAAAATGTAATAACATTATTATACACTGTAAAATTATTTTGTAAACTAGCAGTTTTTGTGATTCACGTTGTTTATTGATGCTTTTATTTATTTGTTCGTTTAATTTTGTTGTTTGTTTTTGTGGAGTTTTCAAAAAAAAAAAAAAAAAACCTCAATATCAATGTTACAATTTTTTTTTTAAACAATAGCTCAGGGTAAACAAGAACATTCAAAAGCCCTCAGTCCCCCATCCCACCCCAAAGGAGGAGATTAAAAAACGCACACAACAACATAAGCACCTACAAGAATTGCAACTAAATAAATATACATAAAATATAAATAACACACACAAACATTAATAAAAAGGGCAGAGATCTTTCTTGAAAAAAAAAATCATATAAATCAGTGAAGAGATGTGTTGTATTCCTGACAAAATTAATTACAAAAGTTTATTTATGCTTTTGAATTACATTATCGGACCTTGATCTTTCTTCCAATAACATATAACCTTGAAAAGTTTAAAAATGTGCCGTTTATGAACCTTTTTTATACTTTAAAGTGATATGTTGTCTGGGTTGGTGCTCTATACGGTACCGAATTGTGTGAAACCTAGCATTTTTTTTTACACTTTGGCATGTTCAAGTGTGTTCAGTTAGTGTTGGAGCAAAACTCTGCAGGGACACCAGCCCTCCAAGATCGAGTTTGTCCATCCCTTAACTAATTGATCAGATATTAAAATGTTTTAAGTTATATTGTTAATGATGTTGTACAGTATTCCCTTAGCTGAGGCCTAATATGAAACCAGAACTCAAAGTACCATAGCATCTGTCATACAGAGATTAATGATCCATTTAGGCTTTCTTTTTTGTGCCAATCTCTTTTACTTTGCTCCTTTTGGCATTAGTTTATTCATCTCATCATCAAGACAAGTTCATCCTTTAGCAGTCATTATTAGTGTTGTTTCTTCTCTCTCTGCGAAGTGAGTGCCATTAGGTCAGACTTCAACATGACTGAGTGCTTCTAATTATACTTTTAACAGTTATAAAAGATATCTGATGGGAACATTACACATTTTTTTGGGCAAATAGATTGATTCTGGCTGGAAGTGCATTCACAGCGTAAAACATATGCTAGAATAGTTGGCGGTTCATTCTGTTGTGGTTACCCCGGATAAATAAGGAACTCAGCTGAAGGAAAATTAATGAATAATACAATAATAATAACACATTTAATTTACAAAGCTCCTTTAAAAGTTACTTTTTTAAAGTGCTTTGCCTACAAACCTCATTTATTAAAGGGAACAACAGTAAAAGATCAAAACAGATTATTGAAAACATGTTAATTAAAAGCAGTCCTAGACAATTCATCATTATATATACTCCAGACTGTTGTAAATACGCTGTAGGCCATTTACAGATGTGGATTAAAGGTAAAAATATTCATAAGACCTTGGTATTATCAGGAGTCATGTAAATTAGTTTGCCTCTATATGTTTAGACTCTTAATCATTAGCACATTTCACACAGACATTTTCAGTAAATCCTCCTCAAATATTCAGCCCGATATCACGAGTAAACATAACTATGTATATTGTCAGAAAAGTAACTATTCATACTCATTCACTGATATGTAAATGTAGATTTTTTTTTTTTTTTAAAGGAGATGTGCCTTCAAACTCCACTCCTGTCCCTACCCCTCATTGGTGGATGAGCAAATCAAACTGAAATGTATGAATGAGATTGAAATGAATATTTTATTAATTTCTCAGTGGATATAGGCAATGTATTTCGGTGCATGAAAAACAGATATAATTATTAAAATAATATTTTAGTCACCACACATATTTAGAAATCGAAAGATAATACAATAAAAAATCAAGCAAAATATACAAAAATAAATAAATAAATAAAAATACAACCTACAAAGTTTCAACAATTTTTTTTACTTATTTATTTAATCATTTTGCTTCTCTTGTTTTTTTCCTTTTTAAAAATTTTGTATTTAATATTTTTCTATAATAAAAATTTGGGTGTACTAGTTTTTGGATCGTTATCATATATGTTATTTTGTCAGACAAGCTCCAGATTTGGCTTCAGTACTGACTAATCTAATGTATATGCACAAATATAATATTATATAGCTTCCTATTAAAAACATGAATTTAAAAGATTTCTGTATGGTCAAAGTAACTTTAAAAAATTACTGTAATTTGTTTCAGCTAAATGTATTTATTGAGGGCACATAAGCAGTACCTGAAGATATCTTTGTCAGAGTAACTAATAGACTAACGTTACTGTTGTTAAAGCCTCGACCTGGCAGTATTACAAACATGTTTTAAAAAAGATATGTTGCCATCGCGAATGCTTTCTCATTCATTCATTCATTCATTTACATCTCGGCTTAGTCCCTTTATTATTAATTTGGGGTCACCACAGCGGAATGAACCACCAACTTACCCAGCATATGTTTTACACAGCGGATGCCCTTCCAGCAGCAACCCATCACTGGGAAACACCCATACACTCCCATTCACACACATAGTACACTACAAACAATTTAGCCTACCCAATTCACCTATAGAGCATGTCTTTGGACTTGAGGGGGACATACAAACTCCACACAGAAATGCCAACTGATCCAGCCGGGGCTTGAACCAGCGACCTTCTTGCTGTGAGGTGATCGTGCAACCCACTGTGCCACCATAACGCCCTGATGCTTTCTTATATAATATGGGAATGCTTCTCTTGTCTAAATAAAATTTACTTTGGCCACAGACTTTCTTCACATTTGAATCAAGTAATGGCAGATGGCAAAACATGACCTGGCGAGTTAAGTAAACATGAATTAGATTGTTATATAGAGTGTATTTAGAGTTACTATAATAAATAAGGTAACTTTTTTGCTTTAAAATCAGAATCCATAATTTTTCACTTAATCAAATATAAAAACGTACTTCAAATGAAAGACAAGGTAGATTCAGCACTTTTTTCAGTGCATTAAATGTTTAATGTCTGTGAAATGCTATTCCATCAAGTTGTTTGCTTTTAATGGCACCCCTTTTTTTGTCTTTCATTGCTCCAGGCCTCCAACCCTCTTTGGCAAAACCGGGCCTCAACCACTGTGTCCACAGGGGGGCGTTTCCGCTGCCCATCATGTCGCCATGAGGTGGTTTTGGATCGGCATGGTGTCTACGGCCTTCAGAGAAATCTGCTAGTGGAGAATATCATAGATATCTACAAATCAGAATCCACCAGGTCAGTCTTGTGTTGGGCTAGCCTGTGAACCAGTTCCAAGTTCCACCAAGGATAAACATTTCTCTTCTCGAAGCACTTACATTAATTAAGTCTATTTGCTGTTCATACTTCAAAGCCGTGTTCTGTATAGAGATCCAGCAACGCCCCAAGCTGTTGTGACACAACACTCTTGTGACACAACACTACAGTACCTGACACTTCTTCTGTTTCATCAATGAAGCTGAAACCCGGTGTAGTGACACATATATGTGATTTACTCTTATGTGGGAGATTTTCTGCCACGTCAAGTAAACACAAACAAAGACATGGGACCTGAGGCTCTGGTGACTGTAGCAATCGTTTGCCAAACCAGACTAAATATAACTAGGACGCTTTATCCCTGTGGCAATAAACAATGTGTCATGAGACCTCCTGTGAAAAATATGCGTAATTGGGTATAATAAGACTGATAGACTTTGAAGCCTTTTGTAACAAACGCTTTGTTTATTATGAATACATAATGTACATGGTCTTAGTGTCTTTGGTAAAAAGCCGGTACCTAAAAGAGGTTGTTTCAAAGGCACATTCTGATTGATGATGGGACATTTTCTCCATGCTTTTAAACCATTTTCCGCCATTTAATATGCTTCGTATGTATATAAAAGCACTTCTGAAATTTTAATTTGATGTGGACACTTAATAATTTTATTTAAATGATTATAACTAACTTATTTTATATCAAATATTAAGCAATTTTAGAATTAAAGTGTTTAGTTTAAAGAATTTTAAATGTAAAACGACAAAATTGCTCTTACTGTAAAACCTTTTATTAGACTGACCCACTTTTACTTTTAACTTACTATAAAAGGAAATTCAGCAAAGTTTTATCAGGAAAAGTGTTACAATTGTTATCATGTATTCAGTTTTAAAATCGTATCTAATTTATCTTGTGTTTATTTGTTTCTGGTCTTGTATTTACTTTTAATGAAATGTTTTCTCATGACTTTAGCCTTTGTTGGTGACATAACATTTCATTATTATTATTATTATTAATCCCATGCTCATCATCTGATGGTCAACTATTACTGTTGTCAATGAGACAGTAGCCTGGTTCCCTAAATTTAGTATGTTTGGTTATTAGTTGTACTAGTATCATGTGTTGTTGGATGAAATCCTAATGTCTGTGTGTTTCTATGTTCTGCTAAAAGCCAACATTCTTGTTAAGTTAGGCCCAGTAACCTTTCAATATTTTCCTGTTTAAAAATAGAAATAAAGAAATAACACAATATAGATAATATAGACATTTTTTATGGAACATTTACTTCCAGTTGTAGTTTGCCTTGTGTAATGCTGTATTGTCACTCAGAATTCCTGACACTGTGGAAGTAAATGCATTTTTTTTTACTATTTCCATTATTTCAAGAACTTATTCTAGAGCTGTCAAGAACTTGTCTATTACATAATCATAAAATTTATCCTTTAGCTTGATCATTTATGATTTGATAGCAATAGTTACACTATAAAACATTCTTGCTGCTTTATTTTATTTTAATTTAAACAAACTATTTTAGTCATCTCAATTTGCATAAGTCAAACTGACTAAAAATATAGTATTAAGGATTTAAGATTTATTTCGCTACGTAGGGAGCGGGGGTTTTATTTGTTGCATCGTTCCCTCATAGCAAACTAAGGCAAAGTATAGAACACAAAAAAGGTACTTGACTAAGTAAGAGATGCTATTAACAAAATGATAAACACAGTTGCTATAAAAGCCCTCAGATTCACGTCAACAAAAGGACCGTCACTCCAAAAACTGAAACACATGATCAGACTTTCATTAAAGATTACCAAAAACACTAATTTTTTAGATGATTAGCTTGACCAAATAATGATAAAACATTTTTTTTTTACCATTGTTGGATTGCTTTTGAAACATTTGATGGAAGTGACATTTAAAATAAAAATTGCGTTTAATGTTATTTATTTAGCAAAATTAAAGGACAAAATACGTTTGCAATAAACATTAACAAGTTCTACGTCAGATATATTTAAATTAAACAAGATTAGGCCAGTGAATCTAGCACTTGTGTTACTTTGACCCACCTGTGTGTTAAATTCGTCCCTGCTGATGGGGTCAAAAGTAACAATGTGCAATTTTTGTTTCAAGGGAAGTGATATTGGTGTTGTTCTTTATTGATAACACGTGATTTTGATAGACCACTCTTGTTAGTAACCACAGCAAAACTATATTTCTGTTAAGAACATTATCTTTCAAAAATAAGTTTTTATTAAAAATGTTACTTTCATCCCCCTCTCCCCTATAACATTATGTAAGCTTTGTATAACTAAAATAAATGTTGACCTAGTTAACATGACTTTATCATGGTATTTTTACAAAATAAATTAAAAAAACGAAATTATTATATTTATATAGATATGTAAACCATATATTCATTTTACAGACTGTAAACATGACCGCTCTATCGCTAGACACCCACTGGATGGCAGTCTTTCATAAACAGAGTCTCCGTTTTGATCACACTGACTGCCAATACACCACACATACAAACCAGCTCTTTTCGCTAGACAAGACAGATTAAGACAGAGGCTTTTTGAAAAGGTCTGTGTGAGTGATGTGCTCATTTTAGGACAGAATATCATAGTAGTTGCATCAATCACTTTTAAACGCAGCACCTGTCTTAAATGTCTATCAAAGTTTTGCTCTCAACTTGGTGTTTCGCCTCAGGGGAAGTCAAATTGTACTTCAGATGTCACAAAGAAATGTTGCTTGTTTTGTATGGTTTATCATTACGCACCAGTTTGAGAAGCAGCATCGAGTGCTATACGGAAGTGTACTAAGAATGTATTTTAGAAAAAGTTGGATTCCTCAAATTAATTTGAGATTTTATTTGGCTAGAAATGAGGCAGAGAACATGAAATTGAACACGGAATCTTTGCTAACGTTACTTGAAACAAATACGTTTTGGATCAAGTAAAAAGTTATATTAGACATCCAAGTTTATGAAATACATAGTTTATATTTCTAGAATGTCCATCTCACAATATATTGGACATTTTGTGGCGCTAAATTATTTCGGCTAGAATAAAAGCAGTTTAAAAATTTTAATGAACCATTTTAAGGTCAAAATAATTAGCCCATTTAAGCTATATATTTTTTCGATATTCTACAGAACAAATCACCATTAAACAATAACTTGCCTTATTACCCTAATCTGCCTACTAGTTAAGCTAATTAACCTTGTTGGGCCTTTAAATGTTACTTTAAGCTGTAAAGAAGTTTCCTGAAAAATATCTAGTCAAATATTATTTACTGTCATCAATATTAGAAATTAGTTATTAAACCTATTATGTTTAGAAATGTGGTGAAAAAAAAATCTCTAATTTAAATAGAAATTGGGGAAAAATAGACGGGGGCTAATAATTCAGGGTGCTAATAATTCTGACTTCAACCGTATAGGTAATATTTTTTTCATTACTTTGCCAATTGTTCTATATAGCCTATTGATTTGGTATTTTTTGAAATATATTATGTAATTAAAACAATCAAAAGGAATGTATACTGTGTCCGTCAGGTTTTACTTTCTACTGCTTTTAACAATGTTGTTACTATTTCATATTTTTTTCAGCATCAAAACAGTATAACGACTTTTGAAGGATCAAGTGTGGCAGGAATGAATAGTATTTTAAGATATTTTAAGATTTTAAAAAGATATTTCCCATTATAAAAGTATTTTATGCTGTATTTTAGATCAAATGTATGCTTGGTATGTGAAAGAGGCTTAATTTCATTTCATCGAAATAGCAAAATTGTAAAATTGTGTGATAACATGCCATGTCGCTGTATGTCAGAAATGATCAAAACACTTTTTATTTATTAAAAAAAACAAACATTTGTACATTTATTTTACTTTAAATGTATTTTTAAAAATATAATAATATTATTTATACACTTAAAAATATCTGTAAATTAGCAGTTTTCCATATTTTGTGATTGACATTGTTTATTTATGCTTTTTAAATTGCATAATGGGACCTTGATCTTTATTCACTGTAAAAAATGTAGGGTTCCACACAATTTATTCATGTTGTCTCAACACCAACTGATTAGGTTAACTTAACACTTTTAACAGATTTATGTAAATTGAACAAAAAAAATTAAGTTGTCCTAATGAAATCCCAAGAATAGTTGTTTCAGCTCATTTTAAATAAGTAGTTTGATTGGGGGAAAAAAAATTGGGTGTACTTCCAGCACGGTTTAACCTTAAAAACTTTGAAAAAGTTACTACTATGAATATTTTAATAGTTTAAAGGGATATATTGTCATGGTTGGTGTTATTTATTACAGTACAAAAACCTTGTGACAAACTGGCAACATTTTCTGTTATTTTACAGACTTATTTCTCTACATAATATTTCTTATACATAACATGATTTCAAACTACTAAACTGTCAGTAAAAGTCACTTTGTTAAATTGTAGAGTTGAATTTTCAACATCAAAAGTCACCAGAGAAGAGATTAACATCCCATAATGTAATTCACTACCGTAAATAAACGGAAATTGCAAAATACAGAAACTATTAATTAACAGGTATTTTTACAGTGTATTTATAAATGTTATTTATAATTAAATGGTCAAATCGCAACCTGTTGCCAATGCAAATTTGTAACCTTTACACTGTACCATAAATCTCTTTCACTTTGGACTCTACAGGCCCCTCCTGCCCAAGACAGAGCAGCAGCAGCTGATGTGTGACCAGCATGAGGAGGAGAAGATCAACATCTACTGTCTGACCTGTGAAACGCCGACATGCTCCATGTGCAAAGTGTTTGGGGCTCACAAAGACTGTGATGTGGCCCCGCTGCCGGTCATTTACAAGAAGCAGAAGGTAGAGTAGTTATAGTGGGATTTATTTATTTAAAAAATGGAAATTTATGTACTGCAACAATTGATTTAAGTTACTCAGGAGAATATAACTATAGGTTTATGTGTTTGTCTAAAATTCCTAATATTTCACCTATCTTGTTATGCATTTTTTTCATTAAGATAACTTAGAAAATGCTAAATATATGGTACATTTACCTTGCTTTAAAATTTTTCTATAGATCACTGATGCATACATAATAAAAATATAATACATTATATGTATACATAAATATACAGTTCAAGTCAGAATTATTAGCCCCCCCTGAATTATTAGCACCCCTGTTTTTTTCTCCAATTTCTGTTTAATAGTTTTAAAAACTTCTTTCTAAAAACTGATTTATTTTATCTTTGCCATGATGACAGTAAATAATATTTGACTAGACATTTTTCAAGACACTTCTTTACAGCTTAAAGTCACATTTAAAGGCTTAACTAGGTTAATAAGGTTAACAAGGCAGGTTAGGGTAATTAGTCAAGTTATTGTATAATGATGGTTTGCCCTGTAGATTATCAATAAAAAAATAAAAAAGCTTTTTAAAAAAATTAATAACTGCTTCTATTCAAGCCAAAATAAAACAAATAAGACTTTCTCCAGAAGAAAAAATATTATCAGACATACTGTAGCAACTGTATGTATGTATGTGTGTATATATATATATATATATATATATATATATATATATATATATATATATACACACACACACACACACACACACACACACACACATACAGTTGAAGTCAGAATTATTAGCCCCCTTTGAATTTTTCCACATGATTTTTTTCCAAAATGAAATTTTCACAGTATGTCTGATAATATTTTTTCTTCTGGAAAAAGTCTTATTTGATTTATTTCGGCTAGAATAAAAGCAGTTATTAAGATTTTTAAACACCATTTTAAGGACAAAATTATTAGTCCCTTCAAGCAATTTTTTTTTTGAATGTCTATAGAACAAACCATACATATACAATAGCTTGCCTAATTACCCTAACCTCCCTAGTTAACCTAATTAACCTAGTTAAGCCTTTAAATGTCACTTTAAGCTGTATAGAAGTGTCGTGAACAATATCTTGTCAAATATTATTTACTGTCATCATGGCAAAGATAAAATAAATCAGTTATTAGAAATGAGTTATTAAAACTTATGTTTAGAAATGTGTTGAGAAAATCTTCACTCTGTTAAACAGAAATTGGGGGGAAAATAAACGAGTCTAATAATTCAGGGTGGCTAATAATTCTGACTTCAACTATATATATATATATATATATATATATATATATATATATATATATATATATATATATATATATATATATATATATATATACTCACAAGATCTTTACTGTCTATAAATATTTCTTTTTTAAAATGAACAATCTATTTCAGCTTAAGCCATTAACTAAATAGGGAGCCTGAAACAACATGGAGGAACAAGATTGATCTTGGAGTTTAAGAATCTAAATAGATTATTCAAAATTTGATTTTTTAAAAAGAATAAATTAAGTTCATAAGCAGTTCATGAAATGACTGCAACTGAACCAAAAACCCATATTAAAACAAGTTTTAGATATAAAGTTAAGTTAAAATAATGTGCTCAAAATAGTGTAGGGCTATATGACATGTTAGGAGCCATTATACTGAAATTTTATCATTAAACTGATTCCTCCTTCTGAAAGGATGTTTTTTTTTTCCTGTTTTGTTGTCCACTCAATGAAAATCAAAAATATCATTTTGAAAACCGATCTCTTGTCATGAAAGCGCACAATTTGATCTGTCATTTATGCTTGTAGCATGAATGATGGGTAAATTACACAGTAATGTTTAGCAGCTTGTATTTTAAAGATTAAAAAGAGCAGAACAAATGTGTTTCATGTAGATATACACTTATATTCAATAATTCAGTATATAGTCATAATGAATATGCAAAATTGTGATATTGTGGGCAATTAAAAATATTATCAATAATTATTTTTCCTTGAAACCTTTAGCAATTAAAATCGCAACATAAAAGTTTGATTCCGTCATAAATCAAGCATTATAACACGTGGAAAAAAAACAAACAAACATGCAGCATCACAGCAATTTTCTCACTTTCCAAAGCATTCTTGACCTACATGATATTGAGGTCTTGACCTACTGCACCTCTTGTGGTACGGCTAATAATGAAGGTCTTCATACCAGGGTGCAACTGGGCCTGAGAAATGACTCACTCCTCCCTGTTGTGTTTGAGTCATAGCAGCTTCTTCTGCTCTTTACTTTTTTTGGTCTCTCGTTTTTTTGTCCTCCATAAGTGGCTGTTTCTCAGCTCTCTTGCTCCCTTCAGCAGCTACCAGATGAACAATGACTAAACCTACCAGCCTTTCCCAATAGAAAACCATGTGCACGGTGGACACCATATGTCCGTCTGTTATCTGCAGTGTTTCTATGCTGAAGGTCAGTGGCTATTGTGGGAAATAGTTGCGGTGGCTGTTTGTTGGTGGTTTTTTGCTGGTGTATTGGTTTTAAGATACTGTACTAGAATGACGTAACACTGCCGGATCGTCTATGCTCACAAAAAAGCCCATAATATGTGCCAGGTGGCTATGATGACATTTTCTCTTTTAGTCATGGCCCACTATAAACAGTGAATCACTCATTTCAAATGCAAATCAGCAAAAGTTTGATCAGTCATGACGGGTAACATTCTTACAATCTTGGCTTTTAGTTGACATGCTGTTCTCTTGTCTGTAAGTGTGGTTAGCACAAGTCGCATAGCCAAGTCTGACATGGCTTTCTTGTGAAAGATGACACGCTGAGCACATTGGTCATGTTTGTTTTTTCTCAGTTTTTTTTTTATATTTTGATGAGAACCTGTCACAATCGGTTATATTCTGCTCTGTGTTTTGTTTTGTTTCTTCTCTCAGACAGAGCTAAGTGATGCTATTGCCATCTTGGTGGCCGGAAATGACAGCATACAGGCTCTGATCTCACAGATGGAGGATATTTGTAGGAGCATCAAGGTGAGAACAAAGTTTTTACAGTAAAGCACAACAATTATAATATTGGGTGATCGGGCGGGGCGATGTGTTGAATATTCATAACATAATCACAGTGATTGAACTTTTGCCTAAAACATTGTGAATCTTCTTTGCTAATGTGGCATTTTAATTGAAATGATGGATGTGCTGATTCATCATTTGAAGCTATAAAAATCCAGTTATATATGATATTATATTTATGTTAATTGTATTTTTAAGTTACTTAAAGTGTTACAATTTTTAAAATTACATTAAGTTTGAGGGCAACTAAAAAATAAGGTGGAATATTTCATTATTTGTTTATTTATTTAAAGAAATTGATGGAGACAAAAAGACTAAATATTTCTGTTTTAAAAAGTTGTTGTTTCTAAGAAATATTTCATTTAACACTGTTTCAACAAAAATCCATTGCAACTGTTTTAAACATTGATGACAATAATAAGATTTGTTTTTGCACACCAAATCAGCTTACTAGAAGGATTTCTGAAGAATCTTGTGACTATTAAAATAATATATATATTACATAAATATAAATACACTGCCTGACAAACGTCTTGTCATCGATCTGAGTTGTAAGAGCCACAAATATTAACTTGACTTCTAGTTGATCATTTGGAAAAGTGGCAGATTTTTCTGATGAATCATCTGTTGATCTGCATCCCAATCATCACAAATATTGCAGAAGACCTCATGGAATCTGCATGGACTGATTCTCTTAGAAATCAGTCAAGTTTGGTGTAAGAAAAATCATGGTTTGGAGTTACAATCAGTATTGGGCGCGTGCGGGAGATCTGCAGAGCGAATGGCAACATCAACAGCCTGAGGTATCAAAATATTTGTGCTGCCCATTACATTACAAACCACAGGAAAGGGCAAAATCTTCAGCAGGAGAGCGCTCCTCATACTGAAGATGACTTTATTAATAAGTTATTTGAGTCATTTAAGAGATGTATCTCCTTGTTCAAGCTCTTGTTCTCTCCACACTGGATTACTGCAACTCTCTACTAGCTGGGCTTCCAGCTAACTCTATCAACCCTCTTCAGCTGATCCAGAACGCAGCAGCACGAGTGGTCTTTAAAGAACCTAAAAAGAGCACATGTCACTCCACTGCTCATCCGTTTGCACTGGCTGCCAGTTGCTGCTCGCATCAAATTCAAAGCTCTGATGTTTGCCTACAAAGCGACTTCTGGCTTTGCTCCTTCTTATCTGCTCTCACTTCTGCAGATCTATGTGCCCTCCAGAAACTTGCGTTCTGTGAATGAACGTCGCCTTGTGGTTTCATCCCAAAGAGGGAAGAAACCACTTTCGCGAACGCTCACGCTCAATCTGCCCAGTTGGTAGAATGAACTCCCTAACTACATCAAAACGGCAGAGTCACTCGCTGTTTTCAAGAAACGACTAAAAACTCAACTATTTAGTCTCCACTTCACTTCCTAATCTGCAATTGCCTCTCTGGATATACCACTAACTGTACTCAAAAAAAAAAAATACTAATACTTTCCTTCCTAGACTTTACAGACCTGAAACTTGCCTATAGCACTTATTCATTGTTGCTCTTATAGTTGTGTAAATTGCTTCCTTGTCCTCATTTGTAAGTCGCTTTGGATAAAAGCGTCTGCTAAATGACTAAATGTAAATGTAAATGTATGGATGCAGTCGTCCAAGCTCATGGGAGTCATACACAATATTAATTTTTTTCCACTGCACCAGGACTTTATATTTTATACTGTACATTATTTCTGTTAAGTGACAAGACTTTTGTCTAAGCAAATTCTACCTTACTATCCTAATTAAATAATTAAAAAACAAGGCATGAACAAATTTTATTTTGGTAAAATAAGCGTAATCTAGAGGCCTTTCTTATACCAAATGATCAACTAGAATTCAAGTTATTATTTTATGTTTATAAAACTTGGATAGGCGACAAGACTTTTTCAGGTAGTGTAAATTTGCACTAGTCTGAGCCAGCATGATACACGATAGCCAAATGGCTCAAACATCAAAATTGGTCAGTGTCTTAAAAAACGATGTTTTTTAAATTTAATTTTTTGCATGTAGTGTCATAATGGAAAACTCTTTTTGACAATAATTCGTTTTACAACCCTTTCTTAAATTAGACAGATGATTGTTACCATTTTTTAATTCATTCATCCGATCTAAGTGCCTGGCAGGAGCAATTTTAGCTTTGATTAGCATAAATTATTGAATAAGATTAGACCATTAGCATCTCTTTTGAAAATGACCAAAGAGTTAATGTCAAAGAGATAAATTTCCTATTTGACGTTTGATTCCTCTGGCTCTTCTATATATGCTACGGTATATTGTCCAGTTTGAGCCAGTGATGATTAAAAACTTTTAAAGTTAATGCTATCAGTGCTTTTAATAACAACTTAGATACAGTATCTGGTCATCTTTTGCAGGACAATGGTCGGCGGCAGATACAGCACATATCTGACAAGTTTGATGAACTTTACGCCATTCTAGAAGAGCGTAAAAGAGAACTAATCGAGACTGTTGGTTGTGAGCAAGACCGAAAACTGGGTCATGTTCGATCACTAATTCGTCGCCACGGAGATCACTTAGAGATGTCTGTCAAACTGGTGGAGACAGCCATTCAGTCCATGGAGGAGCCTCAGATGGCTGTATTCCTGCAGGTATAACAAGCACCTTCATCACAATAAATTTTTCACCTCAGTATTTAGCTTTTCTGAAAAACATGTCGTGGTGGTGCCATGATAGGTTCTTGAGTGTTATTATGATGTCACTATAAAAATTCTAGTCATGATATATGCTTTGGGCGTCGCGGTGGTGCAGTGGGTAGCACGGTCCCCTCACAGCAAGAAGGTCGCTGGTTTGAGCCTCGGCTGGGTCAGTTGGCATTTCTCTGTGGAGTTTGCATGTTCTCCCCATGTTTGCGTGGTTTTCCTGTGGGTGCTCCGGTTTCCCCCACAGTCCAAAGAAATGTGTTATAGGTGAATTGGGTAGGCTAAATTGTCCGTAGTGTATGAGTGTGAATGTGTGTGGATTGGAGCTGATAGGGCATCCGCAGCGTAAAACATATGCTGGATAAATTGGCGGTTCATTCCGCTGTGGCAACCCCAGATTAATAAAGGGACTAAACTGAAAAGAGAATGAATGAATTAATAATCAAGATTATTTACCTGTAGGAATTACACAAAGTATTTTTATTGGGGATTTCTAGACTTTGTGATTGATGCTTTAATAATCTTGCTTTATCAAAACTGTTTGAGCTTTTTCTGTCTGAGTCAAAGTGAATGCAGTGCTAATAGAGATTCATGACAGTACAGTCATGTGCTAGTCTAAACCAACATGCCACACCATAGCCAAATGGTTTAAATCTTAAAATTGGCCAGTGTATTGCAAAACTATGCTTATCATTGTTAATATATATATATATATATATACTTTTTTTTTTACATGTAGTGTCATAAAGGAAAACTTAGGCTCATTTTACTACTCCCAAAAACAGATGATTTTTATCATTTTTGAATCCATTCATCTTATCTCAGGGTCTGACAGAAGCACTTTTAGCTTAGCTTAGCATAAATCATTGAATATAATTAGACCATTAGTATCACACATCGTTTGCACACTCTTTCAGGGCAAAGTGACATAATTTATATCCTGCTTTGATTTAGTATAGTTGTTATTCATTGCAAAAGCAAGCTATGTTCAGCTCTCATTTAAAATATCATCTGTTAACTGATCTAGGTTATTTAACTGGATGAAATATACAAATAATTGTTATTGGGGATTTCTAGGCTTTCTGTTTGATGTTTTAATAAACTTGATTAATCAATGAGTGAATGTGGTGCTAATAGAGATTCATGGCAGTACAGTCAAGCACTAGTCTGAACCAACATGCTAAATAAAATGACTCAAATCCCAAAATTGTATTAAAAGTTAAACAGATGATTTTTACCATTTATGAATCCATTCATCCAATCTCAGGGTCTGGTGGGAGCACTTTTAGCTTAGCATAAGCAATTGAATAAAATTAGACCATTGGCATCTTGATCGAAAATGACCAAAGAGTTTGATAATTTTCCTATTTGAAGTTTGACTCTTGTGTATATACATTTTGTACCAAGAAAAATTAAAGGTTTTTAAGTCCTGCATGCTATTATTGTGCCGGCTGAAACCATTGTATGGCTGCAACTTTTCATTTTCCTTAGTACATGATGTAACTACAGAAGAGTCAAGCTTTAAATAGGATTATCAAAACTCTGGTCATTTTTGAGCAATATGCTAATGATTTGATTCAATTATCTATGCTAAGCTAAAAGTGCTTCCTCCAAACTCAGAGATCAGATGAATGGGTAAAAAAATGGTAAAACTCAACTGTTTAACTTTAGGGGACTTGTAAAATAATCATATTTTCCTATAAATACTAGCATCAGAGCTACAGACACTATTACCTAGTCAAAAATAGTCACTTTTTAAAACATTTACCTCACGCAAACCTCTTGCGTCATTGATCAATGGAAGTACAGGTGCTTGTGAGCATCTGACGTGGTCTTATTGAGCTGTGTGGAGTGAATGCTGCGACACCTCACTGGGGATGCTGGAGGCAGAGCTTGCTGCTTTTAAAGCCCCCCAGAGACCCTTGATGTAAATGGCCCAGCCCTTATGTATGCTGTTTGCTGATTGACACTGTGCCTGTTGCTACATTTCAAGTATCCTGTAATGACAAGACCCAGGGGGGCTGATATTGATTAGCAGAACCTTCCACAGCTGGGGACGGAGGAACCCAAAGCCCTTGTCCTTTGACTAGTGGCTCAAACGGTCAATACTTCACCATTGCTGAGAGCTACATGCCTCAGAAAGAGACTTTAAACAAAGGTGATGGAGAGGTGTAATTGTTTTTTGAAACCGCTTTCACTATAAAGTGGCAGCCTCAGGTGCAGCACTGCTGTTTTTTTTAACTAGCTTTTCTCAGTGAGAACACAAGGCTGCCTCACAACTGTCTGTGATTTAGTACGTACCTTTTTTGGGTACGCAGTGAAACTGTGGTAAAGAGGAAAGGAGTTTTGTTTTAATTTGCTGCTGTATATTCTAGATCTAAAACGAGTGTTCTTCTTAACTGTGTTTGTTTGCAGAGCACGAAGGATGTGTTTAAAAAGTAAGTGGACTATGAATGACGTGTTTGGAAGTGTCTTAAAGGGATAGTTCACTAAATAATGAAAATTCTGACATCACCCTACAAACAATTTTGTGTTCAATAAATGTCTAATAGACATCTAAACATAGACAGCTTAGTTAAAACAAGGCTAAAATTGGGCTGTCTGTGAAAATCTAATAGACGTCTAAGAATAGCCTATAACTAGTCATCAAATAGACAAATTAGACAGACTTTATATGTGTAGTCATTCATTTGTGTTTATTTATTGACAAGTCTAGGTTTGGCCTATTCTTTTACTTCCATTTTCACTGACAGCCCAAATGTAGCCTTGTTGTAGCCAAGACGACTATGTTTAGACGTCTATTAGACATCTATTAGAGATCTATTGTATACACTTGGCATTTTCTAACGATGTAAAAATGCTGTGTTCTACACAATCAATTTGTGTTGGGACAGCATGACTGAATTAAGCTAACTAATTTGTTTTTACAAATTTAATTGAATATAAAACAATTAATTTACCCCTAAAAAAGCTCAAGAATTGTATTTCATTTTAATTAGTAGTTTGAACAAACAGCAAGTATAATTTTTTAGTGTACCCTCAAATCATTCCAAGGCTGTTTTATTGATTTTTTTTTGATGACAGAGTTTTTGTTTTTATGTGAACTGTTACTGTAAACTAAATCATATTCAGCATGTGTGCTTCATCAATAACTGAAGCTGTCTAAAGACTAACAATCATGATTAACAACCTCACAGGCAGTGACTCAACCAGCCTCCCACCCCTACCAACCCACTGTATTATGCATTGCTTTGGTTTATAACTTTCGTCTGGCTCAATATTGTGGGAAAGATCCCTCATGCTGCTCTTTGTTTATCTACTGCTGACTTCTGCATTTGATTCTCTGAATATGTCATGTGTAAAACTTTGTTTTTTGAATAGCTTCAGCATGATGGGAATGGAGTGTATTTTGGTAGAAACTGTACACTTTGAACATTTTAACACTTTAAACACTAAACACTTTCAAATTTTGATTAATTTAAAAAATATATTTCAATATTTGTATTGGGTTTTTTGCAGATAATATACAAACGTACAAAAATAGAAGTCTTATCAGCTAAGAGATGACATCTAAACCTAAACATTTCTACCCCTTCTAAGCACCATCCCTCCCATCTCCCACCCCTCCCTATTTTTTGAGGCCTTCAATAAGTATGCAAAGATGAATCAAGATGCAGATAAATAAATAACCTAATTGAAAAAATGAGTAATTAATGATTATTAAATAAATAAGAAGATATAATAGATAGAAAATGTAAAGTGAATACTAAAAGTCTCTCTTTCTTCCTTCTGAAATTCTAATCAGCTGGTCCTGAAATGTTAAGGATCTCAATGACAGACAGTAAGGGACTCCATGTTTTGTTAAAGTTGTTCAGTGATCATTTAAAACAGTCTTAGTTTCTCAAGATAAATGCAATGTAGAACCTGTGTTCTGATAATGGAGGGGACACATGTTTCCATTTGAGGAGAATTGCGCACCTGACGAGCAAGTTGGTAAAGGCAACGACGCAGCATGTTGATGTTTGTGTAGTTGGGGTTGGAAGATAACCAAAAAGTGCATTCAGAGGGTCAGGAGTGATGATTGTATTAAGGGCTTGATTATTTTTTTTTTTTAAATATTAGACTAATAGTTTGTTACAGGACTAAACATGCATATGTAATAATAAAAAAAATAGATACGGGCCTTTCCACGGGAACGCTTAGCCACATATTTAGAATTGGTGGTCATTTAAGAAGAGTTGGCTATTAAAAGGGTTAGTTCACTTAGACAGAAAATTCTGTATTTGTTCTTTATTTCTGTAATTCTGTAATTCACACTCTCGTGTTGTTCAGCTCATTGGTTCTCAACCACGTTCCTGGAGGACCACCAACACTGCATGTTTTGGATCATTACAGGTCTTTCAGTCTCTGCTAATGAGCTGATGATCTGAATCTGGTGTGTTTGATTAGGGAGACATAAAAAAGTGCAGAGCTGGTGGTCCTGAAACGTGGTTGAGAAACATTGGTTCAACTCACCCAAGACCTTTGTTCATCTTTGGAACACAAATTAAGATATTTTAGATGAAATCAGAGAGCTCACCATCCTCCATATACAGCATCAGACCTGAGACGTTCTTAGTACAGAAAAGGAATCAAAAACATTCTTAAAACAATCCATGTGACTTTAGTGGTTCGCGTTACATTGCCTTTATTGCATACAGTAAACAACTGATACTGATATAAAGTGAAAGAGAAGACATTTGTTAAAGTAATTTTACAGAGTTTTTTTGGTGCCCAAAAGTGTAATCGTAGCTTTGGAGTTTGAAATTGGTATTTTGTGGCCACATGGAATGTTTTAACAGTTTTTGGTTCCTTTTCTTTTGAATGACTTTGGACTGTTGCTCTCTATGGAGGGTCAGAGAGCTCTAGACTTTTATCTAAATATCGTATTTGTGTTCTGAAGATGAACATAGGTTGGAATGACGAAGGTGTAAATAAAAACAGAATTTTAATTTATGGGTGAGCTAACCCTCTAAAGACACTGACACAAATATTTAATCAGCCAATCCCATGGTAGCAACTAAGTGAATTTGGGCATGTGGACATAGTCAAGGTAATTTGCTGAGTTTTAAACAAGCAGCTGAATAGGTAAGAAAGGTGATTGAAGTGAATACAGTGAGCAGTAGATACAGTAGGGGAAATAAATATTGAACATGTTGTTTTTTCTGGGAACTAATATTTCTAAAGGAGCTAAAATTGGATTAGATTTTGGTAAAAACCAAAACAATACAAACATAAAAAAATGTAAAACTAAAACATTACTTATGTGTAATAACAATGAAATAACGCAAGGAGAAAGTACTGAACTACTAAAACGCATTTAATACTTTATGTAAGAGGCTTTTTTGATAAAGGCTACAATGATGAAGGGCAGAGGGTTGCTGAAGAACTACTGAGAGATTTCAGCTGCTGTCTGAACCTTCACTGCCTTTCTACTCCTCCATTTCTTCATGTGTTCAATACTTTTACCCTGCGTCATTTAATTTTTATTGTGAATAACTTAATTTATAAATTAATTAGATTTTTTTTCTTCGCATATATGGATTTCTTTGGTTGTTGCCAACACTCTGTGAAAATTTCAAGTCAACAGCACCTTTAGAGTGTTTTATGGGAAAAAACTGTAACGTGTTCAATATTTATTTTCCCTGCTGTATTGATTATAGATGAGAATAGAAGGGGTTTGAGCTAATAGAATTTGAAGTAACCACTTGTTACAATGGTCTGCAGAAGAGCCTCTCTAAAAACAGTACACATCAAACCTTGAAGCAGATGAGCTACAGCAGAAAACTCAGGTGACACTAATATCAGCTGAGAACAGCAAAGCCTATAGTTTAAATGACACAACTAAATTGGAAGATAGAAGATTGTGAAAAGAATGGTTTGATGAGAGTTTGTTCTGAACTTATCGGATGGTCTACCCAGAATTTGGTCTAAGAGAAAGCAAAGATCCATTATGCCTTGGATCAACAGTTCAGTCTGTAGTGGCACAGTGGTGTATAGGACATTTTTCTGGCACTGACTGTGCCCCTTAGTGCAAAAGAGAATCATTTAAATGCCACAGCCTGAGTGCTGTTGCTTACCAGGTCCATCCCTTTATGACCATCATGGCCCTATCTTGTGATGGCTTTTTCCAGCAACATAATGCACCATGCCACTACGCTCAAATAACCTCAAAGTGAGTTCTTGAACCTCTTAAACCAATTTGGGAAGTGGGGGATTGAGATATTTGCATAATGGATATCAAATCTGCAGTAACTGTGGGATACTTTCATATCAGTAAGGATCACAATCTATGAAGTGGTTGATGGGAGTATGTTTCGAAAGCTATGAAATAGTAACCCTAAAAAAAAAGTACTCATTAGCTACTCACCCTCAAGTTTTATTATTATTTTCTATCATTAATATAAGTTCTATTATTCTTTCTTCTGCTGAACCCAAAAGAAGATTTTTCACAGAAAGCTGAAAACCTGTAACCATCAACTTCTGTAGTTGAAAAACAAATACTATGGAAGTAAACGTTTAAAGGTTTCCAGCTTTCTTCAAAATATTTTCTTTTGTGTTCAACAGAACACAAAACTCGAGAGTAAATGATGACAGAATTTTCCTTTTTGGGTAAACTATCCCTTTAACTTTTAGTATCTTCCATTCACTCTTGTTGGTATATCATAACTTGCAGTGAGTTATTCATTACAGTTTTTCCCAAAACCTCTATGAGCGTTTAGAAAAATGCTTACGCTCTCAACACTGTCTAGCTGTGTCTTCTGTTTCATACTCTTCTCCACCTGCGGAGAGGTGGTGTGGAGCCTGGAGCACCTGCGTCACCAGCAGCCGCAGGGAGATGGAGGAACTGGGACCTTATGCTATCCGTCACTTTTATATTTGTCCGACGCGACTTCACCGCTCTGTCCTTGACAGGATCACAGACACAGCCAAGGCCTCCAACATTGAGCGGACGGAGGTGGGTTACGAGAGCATGGCCCACTTCATCATCAACACGGAGGATGTGGCCAACATGCTGAGACATATCAACTTCCGGACAGGTAACAGCTTCACACTCAAACAATGACATTTGCTGTTTGTTCAAACTACTTATTTCAATTGTGCTGAAACAACAATTCTTTAGGGGTTTTTGGGAACAATTTTATTGTTTTATGTTCATTCTACACAAAAACAAATAAGTTAACTCAATTCCTTCATATTCTCCCAACACAAATCGGTTGTGTGGAAGCCAGCATTTTTTACAGAGCACAGCTGTGATGTCTGATTACATTGCAATGTATGTTTCTTTCAGGTAAAGATGAGGAAGACAGTGGTGATGAAGCTCCTGAAGGCCTGACTACCTCAACTGGTCAAAGTGGTGAATCAGGGACGCGCTAACTTATGTTTAAACCCAAGGTTAGTTTCAAAGATGCATCTGTAAAATGGTAGTTGACCTTAATATTGGCTGGTCAATAGTTTGTTACTTAACATTTGTATAACTTTCTTTTTTAGAGCTCATTGGCCATCATTGTTTAGACCATTTTGAGGGATATAAACAATAAGTCTTTATGTATTTCCTGTTTTATATCTTTCATTTCCAAAGCTTCTTAAAATCCAGAAAGCTCCACAAATTGATAACTTTTTTCAATGACAGTTAACATTAGTTATGACTTAATTGCCTCTTGTTAAAGTTCTAAAAAAGATTTAAGACAAGCAGAAACTGTTCATGGAAGATTTATATCGCCATATTGATACATGAAAGAGAAATCCTTTAAAGGAGACCTATTGTGCAAAAATCTCTTTTATAAACCAAGCGGCAACATCTCGTGAAGCAAATACAGAAGTAGATGAAACTGCAATTCATCGAAATTCTTCTAGGCCTGGCTCCACAATAGAATAAATTTCTATTAAGCCCAATGTTAAAATGGCCAACTTTACAGCAGAAAAAGGGGTTTACAGCCTGGTACAAAGAACAATTTTTGATTCATATAGCTAATATTACCCTTCATGACAACTGTGAGGAGGTGAATTTTTTATAAGTCACCCATTTAATTTACACTGAGTTATATTAAGTCTGCATAATTCAGGTCTCGCTGGTTGCCATCACTTCACCTCAGCTGATTCCGGCTGATTAGCCGCTGAACTTGGCATATACATAGTAGTTTTGTTTTGTTTTATGTGGCTTTACACAGTGAGTTGCTTTTTGGAATTATTTCTTACAATAATCAGATGATATGGCATGCTGTGTGCACTTAATTGTGCTCACTTCACATGGCCTCCATTTCCCAAGTGGGTCAAATTATATACTTATATACCATCTCTATAAATGTATCGGTTTTATTTAAGATCATTCATCATTTATATTTTCTTTAGACCTGTAATGCACTCCAGAATCAGACAGATTGATTAGCTGTAGGCTCTAAAACAGTCAATTGAAACACTGTAATACTGTTATGCCTGGATTTCATCAATAGCTTTGCATTTACTAACATAGACTATATTTGAAGTGTTTGGAAGTAATTTGGGGTTTCCTCCTGTAGAAAATGTCATAAGAACAATGCTTAGTGGCTCAGTGTATTACAACAGTGTTTTTAAATGTCTAAACAGTTTATTGATTTAGTGTACAACCAAGCACATGTGGTCAGAACACAAACAAGTCACAGACAATGAATTATTAAGCGTTTCTCCCACAGAAAATACTGTCTAGGTAAAATGCTAGCAGGCGTCTGTAGCTCCGCTCATGCGTTGCCTCTTTGCCCTTATTTGGTCACTCCCGGTCAGTGCGATGATGCGCAAACAAAATGTTGATGGGTGGCCACGCCTACTTGTAGCATCTTTTGCGTTCCTCAGAAACCTATGGGTGACGTCACGGATACTACGTCCATATCTTTTACAGTCTATGGTTTAAACATAGTTTGAATGTGAATATAGCCAGCTTCCAATGGTAAAACTGAATTAATTGTTATTTTTTATAAAATCACACTAAATAAAAACAGTCTGCAGAAACACTATGACGTTCTTCCATTCTACATGTCATCAGAGGGGGAAAGTCCGCCACGTTAATAATGATCTTGCCCTCATTAGCATAAATACCCCTGAGTGAGAAGCAGCCGACCGCCATTTGAGTTTTGATGAAGACAAGGTCAGTGACAAAGTGGATTATTAATCTAGAGTTTTAGATGCACAAATAAAAACTGTAGTCTCCATAGACTGCCACCTTCTGAGCCACTTTTTTTCACATTTTCAGTTTTTCACAGAGATAAGTTTAATCCTGTTTTTGAATCTGCTGCTATGCTAAAGTATAGGTGTTGTAGCTCCACCCCTTTTAAAAAAGAGGGCTGGAAGCACAATCTCATTTGAATTTTAAGCAACAATCAAAAAAAATGCCACAATTAGGATCAAAGCTTGAAAAGGGCTTAAGGTGGGCAACAGTATGGGGTCTTCGTTCACAGATTCTCTATAGGAGATGGGTCAGGACTGCAGGCAGGCCAGTCAAGTACCTGTATCCTCTTCAAAGTTTCATAGAGTTACAATAAATAGTTTGAAGGGCTGTTTTGAGCTGAAACTTTATAGACACACTCTAGGGCCATCAGAGACTTATTTTACATCTTGGAAAATGGGGCATAATAGGTCCCCTATAATTAGTGATTTATTTGTACGCAATGTTCTATTTTTAAATAAATTAAATTAACAAAAGCTTAAGTGATTCACAAAAGCATACAATCAAATAGCAGCCTCACAGTTCACAACAGAACTGTCTTTACAGGTTTATCAGTTGCTAGTTAAAGTTCATTTGTTCTACAACCCCAAATCAGAAAAAGTATGTTGTATTGACAGTATGGTAAACGCAAATAAAAAAAAGAAAGAAGTGGTTTGTAAATTTACTTTTACTTGTATTTCATTGCAAACATTATTTCATTTTATTCCTTTTCACAACATTTAATAGACGTTTAGGGACTGAAGACACCAAGTGATGAAGTGTTGCAGGTGTAATTTTGTCTCATTTTGCCTACATTAAAGTCTTAAGGTGGGCAACAGTACAGGGTCTTCGTTCACAGATTCTTCTGTATTGGAGACAGGTCAGGACTGCAGGCTGGCCAGTCAAGTACCTGTATCCTCTTCCTCCGCAGCCAGGACTTTATAATGTGTGCAGAATGTGTTTTTGCATTGTCTTGTTGAAATATGCATGGGAGTCCCTGGAAACGAAAGTAGCATATTGTGCTTCAAAATGTACATTATTATTTAACCAATTTACCTGATTACTAACCCTAAACTGCTCCTGTCCCAACTTTATTTGGAATGTGTTGCAGTCTAAATGGCAAGAAAATAATGTATATTTACAAATGAAATAAGGTTGACCAGACAAAACATTAAATATTTTGTGTTCATATTGTCTGCAGTGAAATATAAATCAAGAGCCTTTTGGGAAAAAAAGTTATATTACATGGATATTTAAGGTTCTTCATAGAACCATTGATGCCTATAAAGCAATTATCGAATTTAAATTCTTACAATAAATGTGAATAACCACCAAGGACAGTTGAGCTCCAAAAATGACAAACTGTAAATGTACTTCATACAACCTTACTGCAATATTTAAGGGAATATTATGAAAAAAGTTCCAAAATTAAGTTATCAATCACTGAAAATCTTACTCTCTGCTGCAGCTCTTAATTTTGACAATATGTATTTGCTTGTCAATACTGATTGTTGAAATTTTGTTTTTAATCTTACTCAAATTTTTTTCGAGCTTTCGCTAAAACAATGTTTATTTTTTATATATTATTAAATTATATGTTAAAAGTTATGAACTACAGTATATGTTTATTGTGCAAATGTTAAGCCCCAGTCACTATTTATAAACATCTATGAAAAAAGTGAACCCTTGACAATTCAGTTTCTTTGGAATTAGTGTATGGGTATGGGTTTGAGTAAAATATTAAAATATTTTTTTTTTCTTATAAGGGCTGATAACTTTGCATAACCATCATTTGGAGCTTTTTAAATGACACAGGGTCAGAATAACAAAAGTTTTGTAACTCTTTCTTAAATTTCTTAACTCTCAAAGCTAAACATTTGGTATTGTGTTGTATAAAAAAATAATATAAAGACTTCTGAAAACATGGCACATTTTTTTATACAAAAAATAAATAAAAATACGTGTCAATGTTCATTGTTTTTATTTTTATTATATGAATTTTTGGAAAAAATATTAGCATCTGTATATATTTATATGATAATGAAAATGGAAAAAGAAAAGGTCATCTTTTCTATCACTATATATATTTTATTATATTTTTACAAGTATTTTCTTGTTTCTGTTTTTATGGTTTAAATATTTTATCATTAGAAATTTTAGCAGACAGTCACTTGTAAATAAACTTTAAAAAAATACAAACATAAAACGTACATTTTACTAATTAAACTTTAAAAAAATGAAAAAATAACCATAAAATCATAAAAATAATAATAATAAAAAAAATTAAACACTTTTCCCAACAACCACCTACCAGTGCTATCCTATGGTAAAAGTAGGTACTAAAGGCACACTAATTAGATGAATCACAAGTTTGTGGAAAGGAACTATAGGGGACCACATTTTTTCAAATAAAACAATCGTGTCTACCTGAGTTTTTCCAGATGTAATGTTTACATTAACTCAGTCACACCATTTAAAATAAACAGTTGAAACTTTTTTTTTTCCTTCCAAAACAAAAGGAAATGTTTTTGGCAGAGATCAACCCATATGAAACTGTTGTTGTATCCGCAAACACCCGTCTCAAACATTCTTCGGAAACTCCAGATATAATAATATAAGATCTGGTTCAAACAGAATGTCTAATGTATTTGAGGTAACTTGGAATATTTTGTTCCAGTTGTTTTAGTTTTAATTTGTGTATTCTATGGCTTCAATGTAAAAGTCTGTAAACATTAGCTATTATTCTTGAAGTTTTACCAAGACCTACAAACTAAGCTGTAAAACTTATTCCTAAGCATTAATTTCTCAAAAGGCATGTTCTGTTGTTTGAGAGGTGGGTATCCTGTCCTGCATGGGCATCCCCACCTACACTCACTTTCTAAAAATAACCTCTCACTTTAATTTAAAGGTCAAAAACCTCCGATAAATAGGCCAGCGCTGAGTTTTCTCTCTGTCTCAAAGCTGATCTAATAGGACTGTTTGTCCATGGAGTAACAGCGGTGAGTTGAGAAGCAGGCTAAATCGCAGTGGCAGCCGCTTCCAATCCTTCCGACGGTCCGTCCGCCCCCACCTGCTGCTTGCACCCATTACTTAATAACCGCTCGCTCTCTGCGCAGCCCGCCAGGAGAAATGGCAGTGGAGATATATGGCTGTGTGTGTGTGCTCACCGACGCTGACCTTGTCACTCCTGCAGTCAACACACTGATCAATTCATAGGGGAAAGAGAGTCTGGATGTGTGCAGAAGGCTCCACACATGGAGAGAACGTCCATGCGGAATGAGGATGGATCTTATTTTGAGGATGCAGTGCGTCATGAGCTGACGTATCGGCCTTCGCGTAATTTAAAGCTAGCATAAGAAGATTTTTTTGGAGTGCCAGAAGCAGGAACCTATCTGCAGGATGGGATATGACTTGTTTAACCGTTATTTGAGCAGAATATATCATTGAGAGTTATTTTTTATGCATAAAATGCTTTAAAAAGGAGTTTACGTAAGAAGCAGTTTTGCAGGATGACACTTCCTTAAAACAATGAGTGTTCAGTCAACATATATTCTTGCCAATGCAAAGCACACTCTGTCCTCTCCCACTTGTCCCATTTATGACCAAAATAGACTCGGTGTAAGTGGAAGATTAACTCGTATGTTTTATTTGTCATTTCCAGGATATTTCCAGGATAAGAGAGAGTGGAAGGAGGAGGTTTTGGGTAATCCTTTCAGCACGGCGAGAGCTTCTTTCATCTGCCTGTTTTGTGGTCCTAAGACTCTGAGTTCAGTAAGAGGAATCACACTTTTACTTCATAGCTTCCATATTTTGGGTGTTTATGATGCCATTTTTAGACTTTTGATCCTATTATTGCAGTTGGTAGCACTTAAAATCATAAATGAACCCAGAAAACGTTTATGTGGGATAAATATGTGAGGTCTCAAAAAGATTTTGTATTGTATAGCACAATAAACACAAGTGTCTACTGTAA